ATGTTTGTATGTATGTATATGTATGTATGTGTATGTATGTACACACACACACACACACACACACACACACACACACACACAGAGTGCTCTGGGGACACCCCTTCGGATCACTTGCTAAATTTCTCACTTTCTATCACATGGGCAGCAATCCAGTCTGAAGCAATTTATAGTAGTTTGAATTAGGAAAAACTCAACATATTCCCTGGCCATTGAATTGTCAAGCTTTTGATTAAGGAGAGGGATAAATTACTTATTAATAATGTTGATGCTAACTTATGCCATTTATTTATCTGTTAAGCCAAGAGGAAGATACAACAAGAAGAAAAATGAACACAATTTTTTGGTGTGTGTGTGTGTATGTGTGTCTTTGAGTCAAAGTTGACTCCTGCCTGGACAGATCCCTACAATTTTCTTGGCAAGGATTAGTGGAAGTGGTTTGCTCTTCCTTCGTTCTTTCTAAGGCCAACAAAGAGTGACTAACCCAAAGCCAAAGAACTCATGATCTTCCAGTTTCTAGACTGGTGCTTTAACCACTATACCAAACTGGCCCCCTCAGTGCAAATATGCATCAGCAAAATATTAGTTTATTTTCTGAAAAGTAATTACTTTTTTAAAAATAGTAAGCTAAAGAAGACAAGGCATGAAGTAAGGAAAAGGAAAAGGCAACCTAGTTTAAATACTGACCTCCACTTTCCATCATGGCTTTGATGAGTTATGACTTTCACAGAGTGTTTATGTATCAAATCATGTGCAGCATTCCCTGCTAATTATAAGGACAGCACTGGCCATTTTTGCTATGTTTTAATGAGAAGAATCAATCAAGAAGAAAAGTCAATGCCCACTTTTACCCCATAAATACCCCAGGATCTCTAGAAATTGGGTTGCAAAATAACATTCACCAGCTGATCTCCACCATTGATCTCACCAGCTAGGAGGTCTGTGTAATGTATTTATACACACATACATTTGTGTGTTGGTCACATCCTATCAACGTGATCATAGGCTAATGAACTTCTCTGGCATGATAACATCTCTGGGGTGGTTCCAAAGATAAATAGTTGCAGTTAGTTTATATTAAAATATCCAGGTCAAGTTAATAATTTGAATTAATTCACACTGAATTTAATGGCACATAAAAACAAGTTCACTGGTTTGGAATAAACCTTTTATATGTAAATTGCATTTATATAGTAATTATGTACTGCATAGCATTCATCTTAAAATAACAATATCATTTTCAGAGCACTAAAAGGGCTTTAGGATTTAATTCAGTCATTGCTGTGCACATAGATAGTGTAAAGTTCACAAGACAACTGGTTACCCTTTAATCTGCATATTCAGTTGTGCAGTCTGTCCTTTCTCATCAGCTGAAGGTCACTTTCTTGCTATATCAGCATTATCGTCCAGCATTATCTTTTGGGAAAACATTTTCTGTTCCTCATTAAGCTGGAAACAATTTGTTATGAAATGCATCATGGATAGTACAAAATGGTAATATTCATAAGCCTCTCAAGTATTGGTATTTACAAAACCGAATGAAGCTTATAGATGTCTTTCATAAATAATTAGAATAAAAGTAATTAAAATCAATAGTAATATATATTTATTAATTTAATACCTTTAGATTTGCTTTTCTGCTACAAAATGATGGCCAAGATGACTAGCAATAATAAAATTATAATACCAATAGCACTTACTTATATACCACTTCATAGTGCTTTTGCAGCCCTCTCTAAGCAGTTTACAGAGTCAGCATATTGCCCCCAACAATCTGGCTCCTCATTTTACTCACCTCGGAAGGATGGAAGGCTGAGTCAATCTCGATCCTGGTGAGACTCGAACTGGCAATTTGCAGGCAGCTGGCAGTCAGCAGAAGTAGCCTGCAGTACTGCACTCTAGCCACTGCGCCATTCTTGGCTCTTCCTTTAAGGTTATTATAAGGTTATTATAACTTTGTATTTTTAAAAACCTGAAAGCAATTATTTTAAAAAGTAGTAAAGCAGACATATTAGTGGCTAATGTTTATTTCAAAATAAACATTTCAAAATAAACATTGGTGTGAATAAAACGTTTTTTTCTGTTAGAAAAATAATGATATTTTTTGTTTGGCTTGGCAATTTTTTTTATTCATAGAAAGGGAAGAACAATCAAGCATCTTCTAGTTGGAAGAACAATTTTGTATCTTTCAATTGATAAAAAGGCAGAAATCTGACTTCATAATTCTGCTGTTTAATGGATCATATGGCAATCCTTTTGAATCATTTGCGTTGTTTATCAGGTTTAGAGGTTAAAATCTACATCTTTTTTAAAAATATCTCTGGATGTGTAATTTATTAATTTAATTTTGCTTATTTCAACAATTTATGTGGATGCCCATATTACTGTTTTCACTTTGGGTGTCTGACAATAAATTAAACTAGAAGGTAGCTAATTAACTCTAAATAAACAAGAAATTTCAACAATTATCAATATATTGGTTAGTATATAAAGGTCCAAGTAACTCCTTTCCTCTTGCAGTCAAGCCCTTAATAACCTGATCCAAATGTGAATAATCAGCCCTTTGGTGCCTTATGAAAAGCCAATAAAGTTCATTCTGATCATTCTGATCTCGCAAGGGCTCCAAAGGATAAACACTACAACAGAAAAAAATATTAACAACTCTTATTTCATTATTTAAAGGATACATTTCCAAAGAGGAGTTAGCTTTTACACTGAGAACAATTACAAGGAATTATATTATCTCTTACAAGAGACTTAGGACGACTTTAAATTGTGAAGTTCCAAGTCCATGCATTTAAAGGGAACCAGGCTAGAAAAGATAGACATGAAGCTATGTCACATGGTAGCAATCTGCAAAAATTATAACAAATCATAAAAATAGAAATAATTGAAATAAGAATAGAAATGGAATAGAATAGAATAGAAAAGAAATTTCTAAGGATATGTAGTATCCTAGAACAGGGCTGTCAAAGTTCCAGCCTGTGGGCTGATGTATCATGCACTGGCCACGCCCACACCCAGTTTAGCGAAGTGTATATAATAAACCCCTCTGCACCTAATCTTTGTTTTCTAAAATAAGTAACTTAACATGCCTTTCCTGTTTACTTTTTCAGGTTGTGTGGAGGAAACTTGGAGATGCTGCAGGCTCGTGTCCTGGAATTAGACAGCACTTGTCTGGAAGCCAGTACAAAGGGCCAATGTGAATGGCTGTCAAAACAAGGAAGGATTCCAAGTATCAGTGGACATTGCAGCAACCCTTTTAGTAGTAATGGGACAATGCCAAACACTTTCTAGGCCACCACTGGAAAATAGAAGTCTCTTCATAGACGTTTGTGTGATGTATCCAGATCTGCAACTAATATACTCCATTCTGCTTTTGCCACAAGCATTTTCAATACACACACACACACACACACACACACACAGAGAGAGAGAGAGAGAGAGAGAGAGAGAGAGAAAGGGAGGGAGGGAGGAAGAGAGAGAGAGAGAGAGAACAATCATCAAGGTTGTTCACATTAATCCAGATGGAAAACTCAGAGAAAGTTCTTTCGTAAAAAGAAAAGAAAAAGAAAAAGAAATCAAGAGATTCCAATGAATTATGCTCTTGGTCTTCACAGTTTCAAAAAAAAAAAAAGAATTCTCTATATTTCATTGTATGAAATATTGACTAATGGTGAATAGCCAACTGGCTGATGTTGGGATGTTAGGATTATTGCTAAATGCCCCAAACCTTCAAGTCTCAAAAGAGCCAATAGTGTAGCAAGAGAAAAACTACATATATAAGCACTAAAATTGTGATGCCTCATTGCTCTAAAAACATAGACTAAGAATCATTTTATTCTTATTTACTTTGGTGATTGGATTCTAAAGAACTGATTTTTCTCTTATTAAAATAAATATTCCCTCTATTCCACAAGCCTGAGGCACTGTTAGTAACCGGGCATCAAAATCATGTGCTGCTCTTTCAGGGATGAAATAGATCCTTGAGCCAGACTGAAGACAGGGTACCTGTAGTAATGCTCTGGAGACATGGTGCCTGGGTAGCTGCAATTGTATCCATGGCTAAATTTTGATTGGAGATCCACACATATACATCAAGGAGAATGCTGGAAGGGAGGGACTCTTTCCAGAGCTGTGGAGTGAACACCACATCTATTTTTATTCTTTTTTAACAGATAAAATAGGGGAATGCTGATATCTAAAGAGAAAACAAAAAAGCTCAGATATCAAACTTGTGGGCTTTTACTTTTAACACACACACAAACCCACACAAAAAAACTTGAAAAGGGGAAAGTTGTGCTCTGGGAACATGGAGCTGCATGCTGTTTCTAATCAATTTGAATTAGAGACTGATGGAAACGGGATGGATATTCATGATTGGCAGACAAGAATGGATGGATACTGTGAAAATGGCAAACAAGGCTAAGAAACTACACCAAGAAAGATTGAATGCTAATGATAGGAGTAGCTGTGGGGGTGATAATTATAGATTGAGAGGTAAAGCAGAAAAAATAGACACCATCACCAGAATGAAGGGCACTCATTTCCAGAGAAGTCACAAATAATTGGAAAAAACGTTACAGATATAGTTTTCTCATCTCTCTGTTATAAATTCAATATTAAATTGAAAGTGAAGAGTCTTGGAATGAGACTTGAGCTGAAATTGTGACTACGTTAAAGAGAATAACAAAGACAAGTCATTTAAGGAAAGGAAATCATTAAAAGTTACTCCAAAAGTTTAAATGATGGCCATGCCGTTGACTTATGACCTTCAGTAACAGTTTCGCAAATAGCATGCATTCCCTTCCTTGGCCACTACTTTTTGTCTGAAAACCAACAGTTTATATAACCAACACAATTTTTGCTGGGTATCAAAAATAAGTTAAGTGTATCACGAATAGAACAGGACTTTACACAAAGCAAACTCTTATCTGTCGGTAATACTTTCACTTCGGATGAACAATGTTTGTGTATTTTTCAGAGCAGATGAAACAATAAGGTGAATTAGAAAGAGGAAAGGAGATTTGCTTCTGGAAAAGTGGATCAGAAAATAGTGTGAAATTGGGTAGTGCTAAGAAAATATTTCAGGGAGCTCCTGAGAGTAAAACCTGGGCTAATCTTAGAGACAAATGACAAACCCATCATGACTATGACGGATGCTGAAATAATCTCACTTCCAAAAATCTGGCACTCAAAACTGAAGGCTGATATACAAAATATTCCATCGCTTTAAGGATAAGGCAGGAAAAAAAGAATAATATTTTGACTCCGATAAATTAATTTAAAGACTGAGGAATTTAAGTGTAGTTTACTGAACACTGAAATCCATACTGTGGAACAGTAGCATAATAATCATAGAATTAAAAGGTGCTTATGAGACCACTGATTCTAACCCTTATTCTGTATAGGGATTATATTAAGGAAGCTTTTGTTTTGTTGATATTCAACTGGAATCTATTACCCCCATAACATAATCCTTTTTAATATCTTATGATGATAATGACTAGGTCTTGGCCT